GTCACAAGCTGCTGTGCGTGGATCTGCAAAGGTGCGGAGGCGGAAGAAGATGCGGTGAGGGCTGGCTGGAGAGAAGTAATTTCGCTGTGTACAATTTCGAGATTGTTGACTTGATTCCCAAAGGGGACTAGCGTCTCTCTGCCCAACCCGTTCCAGGTCTGGGGTTGACCAGCAACCGAGCTGGTGGCCCCACCAAAATCTCAGCGGTGACAGGGGGCCACCCACTGGACCCTGTGCAGCACGTCAGAGGCGTGGCATTTGATCGTTGGCGTCAACCCCACGACGCTCTTGCCCTCAGCATCGCCACGACATTCTACATTGCTAGCCGGGCGCACCGCCAACAGACCACCTCACGCGCTTTTCCCACTGCCAGCGCGCTGTACGCTGCCGATCACGATGTCTACTTTCCCGACGAGGTCGTTCTCCGGGCACATGCGACAGCCGTCCATGTCCGCGAGCGCAGCATCGACAGGCCAGTCGCCCGCCCTCGTGGCACGGGTCAATGAGAAGAAGGCGGAACTGGAGAATCTCAAGGAGCTCCGCGATTTGAGCGCAGCGATGGCCTCTCAGATGGAGGCTTTGGAGGCAAAACTTGCGACGCTTTCGGATGGAACAGAAGCCATTGCTCTGGTTCTCGCCAACTGGCATAACGTGCTGAGGGCGATCAACATGGCATCGTGTATGCCTCCCCTGTGCACTTTCTTTCGTCTGGGTTTTTACTCAACAGCAGCAGCGAAACTACCGAAACCGAGCGCGGAGGCGGACGAACCCTCTGAAGTGTCGATACCGTTACCACAGACCCTCGTCCGGATTCCGACAGAACATGCTCCGAATCTCCAGGCGCACGCTGATGGGGTTGCAGCTGCGGAAGGAGAACGCGACTGAGTGCAGCTATCCGATCAGTTTGTATGACCATTCGGGTGCTTTTTTTTTGGCAATAAAGGTAGTTCTGCCAGCCGGAACAGCGGTTTGCTCTCGGCCTAAGCTGGGCCGTAGCTTTGAAACGCCAGTCCCCTTCATCCGTCTATACTGTCTACGGACATCTACTCTGGTAGGCAGTATTGAACCGCCACCACCAAAACCAGCATCCAACAAGCCATATCGGAGCAAGCAAGCTGAGACTTTCTCCAAAGTTCTTGGACATCGACCCTAACCCACTGAGGTTTGCTCGGATGGATTTGACCCTGGTGCTGTGCGGATCCGAAGGCGGGGTACCCGCGGGATGTCACAGGGATTCGCGTGTCACTCTCGCGTTCCTTAGTCAGCACTGTCCCCAGTCACGCCGCGATTGGGCGGGTTTCTGGCGCATTTATTTTATGAAGGGAAGGCACGGAACCCATGTTTCGGGAGCAGACACAGTGCAACCCTGTGATGCAGGCGCGGGAGGTACAAACTGAGGGACATTGCAGAGGAGCTGATTAGACGGGAACAGAGGCAGGCACAAGCTAATATACGCGGTCGCGATGGAAGCAAACTAAACGGGAGCTGCCCCGAGCTGCAAGTGCAGTCCAGCGTCTAAGTGGGGTGGGCACGGCAAAGTAAACAACAAGGAACCCGGAAGACAGCCTTTGAAATACCCCATCCAATCCCAGCTGCTCTCCTCAACACCTCCGCTTCATCCGTGGCTCCCGTCTGCCAACGACCTTACGAGCATCATTGACCAATTCGTACCCAACAAGCTTTCGATCAGCCTTCCCCGCGATCTTGCCATTGCTGCTTTTGGATAGCCGTCAACTTTTGTGTGGGAGGATCAAACACCCCTCGTTCCCCTCACGTTCTCAAGGGCCAATCGCCCCTCCACCGTTTTTTATCCGCGAAATTGCATTGCCAAAAACCGTTGTCCGTGCCATCCCAAAACCGTCCTCGGCGTGGCGCCTCTGGATCGGACATCGCCCGTTACCCTGACCTGCGACCGGGCTTGGCCTAGTCTGGACGACCTGCTGCTGCGGGTCAAAGGCAATTAAAGCCATGGCACCTGCGACGCGAACTCGTCCCGTCGTCGATCTCGACATCCACGACGACCACCCTCACCGCTGTGACTTGGATCACCATCATCTCCCCAACCCGCCGTCCTCGATTCTCGGTGAACTTCATCTCGGCAACATCACGAACATCGGCAAGCCGCCGAACGGGTCGATCGAGTCCCTGACTGACCAGCTTGGCAACTTCCACCTCGACAGTTCAACCAAGGAGAACTTGTACGAGCAGCAGGTCCAGCAGACTACCCGAACTAGGGGACGCAAAACCCGCCCCCAAGTGGAATCTCACACCTTTCAGTTTCCGTTGGAGATCCAGTACGAGGACTGCGGTCCTGTTGAAGGCATCCGCGCGCCAGACGTCAGCGTCGTCTCGGACGAGACCGAAAGTAGGCTTGGCCGTCGGAAACTCCCCTTCAACTTGTCACCCATGCTGACCTATGACCTCCGCAGACCATTTGGGAGACAACGTGCTTGAAGCCGCCGTTAGCGAGCTGCCCAGCAATACAGAGCAGCTGCTGAAGCACCACGCAGGTCAGTTCGAATGGCTGCTCACCATTCCGGCGCCTGGGAACGACGATGCCGATTCGGCCAGAAGCGGCAGACCTCTAGGGGACGTCTCACGCGAGGATGCAGAATCGCCTCGCGCAGGAGAAAGGAGGGTGCTCTTCGGCTGCAATCTCGTCCGTCGCAAGACGCCGCTGGGAGAAGCCGGAAGCGATCAGAAAAAGTCGGCTAACATATACACAATCCTAGCCACCCGGGTCGAAGGTGATGACGATTGTAGCAGCACCAAGGCTGCCACTGTTGATGAAATGTCAATTGCCTCTTCCACCGAGGCCAACACAACCATAATTAGGATGGACTCGCCGCACGCTGAGGCGTCCGCTGTGCGCAGGACATCAGGTTCTGCGCTCAGCTCGAGAAAGGATGACATTGTCGATCAGATCATCGCGCTGCCGCCTGCGAATCCAACGTCGCGCATCGAAGATTCTGTGGAGGCTCTCGATAAGCTCGAGGAGGAACTGGAGGCCCTCAATGAGATGGCCCGACTTGACCGAGTACTGTCCCCCGAGGAGTCGAAGGGTCGCGCTGTTGTACAGAGCATTAACACTTCCCTGAAGCGCACAGGCTCGGTAGCCAAGAAACCCGCAACCGGCACGGTCCGGGTCCGGACTGCCGCAGAACGGTCCTCGTCGGTTCGCAAGTCCGTATCGTCGGCAGTCTCTCAGGACGACGAGAGATCCACCGCAGCCAGCAGAGGGCCACGTAGGTCCCTGGTGGCAAGGCCTGCCAGCCTGCTCCCACCCAAGCCGCCGGCGAGGTCTAGCAAGCCGCCGACGGTCTCGACATTCGAGTTGCCCGGCGATGCTGTTGCCCGACGCCTCAAGGAGCAGCGAGAGGCTCGCATGTCACGCCAGTTCAACCCCGAGCAAGCAGCGGCCGTTGCGGCAGCCTACTCACCGTCCAAGCCCCACGCAAAGTCCGCAAAAGCCCCCACGCGGCCGACGTTCGAGCTGCCGGGTGAGGCCATCTCTCGACGCAAGCGTGAGGAGAGGGAGGCTAAGCTACGTGCACAAGAGGAAGAAGAGCGGAGGAGGCGAGAATTCAAAGCGAGACCGATCCGCGCTAGCATCGTGCCCAGTTCGTACCCGCGTGAAACAATCGCCAGCCGGGCACGACAGGGCAAAGGGACCGGGTCTTCCGAGGCTGAAGGGTCGGCTACGGTAACGTCGACACCGAACACCGCCGCTAGAAAGAGACAGTCCATGGCGGCTGGGGCTTCGGCTGCGACGCCGCGCTCATCGCTCAGCACCGCACGGGGGCGTAGTGAGCTCACCGTTGACTCTACGGCGGGAACTAGCCGTGCCACGTCGACGTCAACGGGTAGCATCCATGGTGGCGGGGCGGGAACCGGCAGTGTCATTAGCGTCAGCAAGCGGAGCACCGTCAGCACCGAGGACCAAGCGCAACAGAAAGCCCGAGGCAGGGAGATCTTTTCGCGCGACAATAGCATTGCTGCTGAGCGGGAGAGAGAGCGTCGCGAAAGGGAGGCGGCGGCCAAGCTTGCACGGCAGGAGGCTGCGGAGCGTTCCAGACAGCTTAGTCGGGAGTGGGCGCAAAAGCAGAGGACTAAGAGAGTCAGCTTGATGGGTTCGGAGGAGTGCAGGAACATTGTCTGAGGGGTTTGTGTTATTATCCATGACTGTATTTGCATAGCCGGAGGGTTGCGTTTGGAGTTTTGACTTTGCCTTTGTGTTTGTTTTATTATGGCTACTTCCATAGGCCTGTCGGGTTTGGGCTGGCTGGAGAACACGATGCCGTGGGCATGCTCAAGAGCATTGGTATCGGAGGGAAAGGGTGCGACCGTGTGCATTGTTTATGAGCTGTTGTGACTAGGAGCAAATAAAACATGAAGGTTTTTTTTTACCATTCGCTATTACTCGGGGCGCTGAGCATATGATGTTGCCAGTGAGCGGGCAAGTTGTGTCATGAGATCCGACCTGTTTACTGCATGCTCTCAGGTTCCTCTCTGGGGGTACCTTAGGGGCATGATGGTCCACGAATGCCCTGAGTATGAGAGTTCGCTCCAGGGTGGTTGTTCTCTTTTGCCTGATCCCATAGTTACCTATTGGGCGCAACGAGAATCCCGGCAACTCTACCGCTGATGCCACTAAGCCTCCTCTGGTGATACACAGCCCATTTCCTCCCTGCAATATACGACCATAGACATTGGAAACTGAAAAGTCAACGTCCTGCTCTCCGTCACTGAGCCCCCCCACCCCCGGGTTCAAAAAGAGGGTCAGCACTGCGCTTTCGTTTTCAGGGGTTAGTTGAACCTGCGATTCTCAAGGTGAAATGATGGTGAAAAAGATGATTGATTGTGGGAAGCTTTCCAGTGCCAACTGCATGTCTGGAATGCCGTGCGATTTGTAAGGCTGCCGATTCTTTCCATCGCTTCTTCCTCTGTTCTCTCTGGCATTTATCAAGGGGATTACCGATCGCTCCCTTCAACAAATCGGGTCCCTCGTGGCGCAATTGGCTAGCGCGTCAGACTGTTATCTTTCCAAGTGATTAATTACACAATTAATTACTTAAGGAGGAAAAGCGGAATCTGGAGGCTGTAAGTTCGATCCTTACCGAGGGAGTTGTTTATTTCTTTTTGAACTTTTTTTTTGTGCCGTTGTGTTGCATTTGAAAGGGTGGTAAAGATGCTCAGGTTTGGCGGGGCTGCCCGCGCAGGAGTCTGAAATACTGTAATACAGTGGGGCTGAATTTCACAATTGTTCTGTCCACCGCTTGCACGTTGCACTGGCCAGCTGGGCCCACACCAGCAGATATCAGGCCTCAGGTCATGTTTTTGGGTCTTGCCTGGTTAATGTTGCGTGGTCGAGATGTTGCAGCATTTATGTTTTCTGTCAAGTTTCTTCGGAGATGCGATCAGGCACGTCGCAGAATGCATGATGCGGCTCCACTTTCGCTTTGCCTCATGAAAACATTTAGGACGCCTTCTCGATTGCATGAGGTTTGTGGAGAGAGAGATGGGAACCTGAAAGGTTTCCCTGATGCCCCTCGTTATCAAACAAGTGCCACTTTCGATTATCGAGTACTGCCGGACACGTCTCTTTCATCGCCTGTTCTGCTGTCAATACTGTGTATGCTCTGCGGTGTGCTGTATCGAGTTCATGCAATGTGGGGTTGAGGTGGGGTTGGCTGCCTTATCGATTGCGCTCTCTGTGGCTTGGTGCGAGGAGGTCAGGGGCGACGTAATGCGGCGACCCCAGCTCACATGCGACATCAAAGGCGACGTTATTCCTGTGACCACCCTTACCCATCCCCAAGCTTCTCCTTCGTCACCTTTACGCATCTCTGGGCTCCATTTCTCGACAGTTGCTTTCGCAGTTTGGCTGCCGTTCGCTTTCCTCCGGTACCGCTAATTAGAGTTACCCTTCACCATGGCCGCACCCACACCAGCTGATGCTGTAGGTTATCTCTCCTCCACTTTACCCGAACCCTGGAATTCGCAACCTGGAACGCGTTCTCAAACCATTCACAAATATATCCGCGACAGCTGAGCAGAAGATAATCAACAAAACTGACAACCTTGCTGCAGCTCAAATCCAACCCGGTAGTCCCTTTAGCCCCCGAATCACCGACCACGGCGAGACCACTCGAGATGGACGACGACGACCTTCAGGATACCGGCGTGCTCGGCGCTGATGACTCTGCTGCTGCTACAAAGCCTGGCGCGACCGCCACATCCACGTCGCCGAGTGCCGCCGCGCCCGAGGAAGTCGCTCCGCCCAAGCCGCCGCGGCCAGTGAACGAGACGCAGAGAAACCAGCAGATGCTGAAGGAGGCGTTCCCGACCATCGACATGGCCGTCATCAAGGCCGTTCTCACGGCGAGCGGCGGACAGGTCGAGCCCGCGTTCAACGCCTTGCTCGAGATGACCGATCCCGATGCGGTGCAGAATGACGTGCCCCCGCCGCCTCCTCCGAGACCCGTGGCCGAGCCTGCGGGACCGACCTCAACTGCGCAATCGCAGCTGGAGGCCGACGAGGAATACGCACGTCGGCTGGCGGAGCACTACGAGAATGTTGGCGCTTATGAGGCTAGAACGGCGAACAACATGAACAGAGGTCCTGGCGTGCCCCGTGGTCGCCAGCAGACGGGGCTGGGCCCCAACGACCAGTATGACGACCGGGAGCATAGCTTCCTGGACGATGACCTTCCGGTCATCAAGGAGAGCTTGCGCAAGGGGTTTGTGGAGACGCAGACCAAAGTGAACACGTGGTTTACTCAGCTCAAGAAGAAACTTGACGAGCAGTTTGACGAGGACGACGAGCGGCGGGCGCAGGGGAGCAGCTCGTTTATGGGAAGGCCGACGCGGGACCAGACGCGGAGGAGCAACGACTATGACCGCTACGATGCGGATCCCGAGCTCTTGAGTGATGATTTTGCCGGCATGAAGTTCAACAGCGATGGAAGTAAGTGCACAGAAGCAACGCTCGTTTCCGCTGACATGTGCTGACAAGTGGCAGCTCCTGTCAACAACCGGGGAGGATATGGAAACCCAAATCTGTTCAAGCCGCCTCCGCCGTCCAAGTCGCCAAAGCCAAGTGATGGCAGGAGAGTCGCTTTTGCCGAGACGGTGGAGGATATCGATGCCTACAACGCATCGCCCAAGCTGCCTCCCAAGGACACCCCTCCGAGCTCGGGCAAGGCCAGCAAATGGCAACCATTGTCCACAGTGGAGCCCAGTCCCATTGCGGAGAACGACCCGTTCAGTCTTGGGGACAGCGACGACGAGAGGGACGTCAAGGACAAGAAGGAAATCAAGCTGGAGGACAAGGACGAGGCGTTGAGAAAAGCGACGGCGGACGCCATGGCCGACAGCCTGGTGGACGATAAGCCAAAGGCAAGCGGTGCGGCAGACAAGTGAGAAAGAACTCGAGGGGCGGGAATGGCTTCGGTTGTTGAGTTGGCCCCTCACTTATGATAGTCTTTTCCCCTTTTTCCCATGTGTTGTTTTCTGGCGAGCGCCTCGGAGCATACCCGGTGGATGGATATCTCGATCTCAATACCAGACTGTTACTCAGAACCAAACCAGACCAGACCTCGTACTTGTATAACACGTGGAATCCACCCATGGGATGCATTGCCGACAGCCGCTGCCCAGGTCAAGAATTGCCTTTTGTTAGAAAATTCAGGGTTCAAAGATCGAGGCGGCTCCTGAATGACAGGTGAGACCTGGAGGGCATTCGAGGGGCGCGCCGAAGCGGAATCGATAAGCCCCTGCAAGCTACCCCTCGGCAAGCAACCCCGCCTGCGCGAGGCCCGCTCCGAGCTCCAATGACCCCACCCATGGACGCCCACAGAGCTGTTCAACAGGTCAGAACCCGATAGAGTAGCTCCATTGTTCTGCATGGATTCTGCGGCCCCAATGGAGCTCTCCAGTTTCGTCAGCCTTGCGCATCGAGTGAAGAAAGCACATGGGTAAATTGAGAGATCCTATTGGTTTGCCAGCAACCACACAGCGCCATCCCCCATATCCCATATGCGGCCGTCGCCTCAGTCTCAGACTCGTCAAGTCTCGTGAGCCCTGACGGAAAACCCAGCAGAGCGGATACCTGACCCGATCCAGCGCTCCGTCCAGGTTCTCCCGTATTACGTACCGGCTGCCAGCAAGTTTCTCTCCACTGAGGTGTCCAGGCGTACCGAGTAGGTGGGATTTCCAGATCCGGTAGCCCGTCGCCGTCCAGAGCCAGCAACCATCTAGCGGACGCGAGCATCCGTCGGCCATGTCATGACCTTTTGGCGGTTTGCCCAATCATTGACGGTTTAGGTGCCGGTTGCTGCGCTTACTAGCAGACGACTCCTATCCTTGGCTCCAAGGCAAACAGCTTATCGACTGTCACGGGCCTGTCATTGTATCTCTCACGACCTAGCTTGTGGCCTGGACCCCGTCGTCGCCTCAAGCAGTAAGTCACAACGCTCTTCAGGTCCACCCTCTGCTCTTCGGAATAGCGCAAGAAGACTTCCCCTCGGGATTCACGGGATGTTTTGTCTTCTGCGGTGATATTACCTCAACCGCAAGACTTCAGGTGCTGCTGCGCTGCTGAGGAACCCGTCCTTCGGAAGTCAACCCGCCCCCTTTCCGATTCGAGCAAACCCCGTCCTCGCTGTCACGGCCGCCAAAGTCCAGGTCACCAGGGGACGGACATCCAAATTCAGGCGCGGCTGCAGGCGAACGGACACACTCACGAGACACACGCACACACCAACCCCCCAACCTGTGACAACAGCTGAGGAGGAACTGCCGTGGCCCATAGCATCGCCGTCGGGGAGCCTCTGTGACCCCCACTTAGGCTGTGTTCCTTGCTCTTTTCGGTACGACACGAGCAAAAGATCAGCCATCAGCTGCGACTCACAGCTCCCGTGTAAGTACCTCGGGTCTCTACTTCACCACCCGCTCTCGCCCCCTTCACCTTCCAGCTCCTGGGCAGGCAAGCGCCAGATCTCAGCATAACATACATTTCAGCTTCACACAGCCTGCTCAACCCTGCAGATACTCGTTTGTCGTTGCAGAGTCGTTCTCTTGCCTGTCTGAGACGGGAGTGCTGCTCGCTGCAAGTGTGCTGCACTGTACCTTTATACCTGCGTATCAAAGACCAGAATCACTGCTGGGAGCCAGCCCCTCCCGAAGGCCCTCGAATCGTCATACACGTCCTACCCACCATACCGGTACCATCCCCTGGCTTGGCTTCGCACCCCACGTGCTGGGAACAAGAGTCTCACCTCCTGCGCTCCCGGCCTGTCCGTCCAGTGATCACGCAATCACGCAAGCAAGCAAGCACTTGCCAGCCAGCACTCGCTAGAGACGGCCGAATCTGCATGCAGCCGTTGCCGACGTTTCTGACCTGTCCATCGATAGATCGATCCCCTTTTCTCTCTTGCCCAAGAGGAATCCGATTGGAGCCGACCTGCGTGTCTCTACTGTGTAGACGCCTTGGCCTCCCCGCTTCACCATGTAAGTACCCTTATTGCTCCTCCTCAACCCGCCCCCTTTTGTGGCTGGACCCTCTCCTTATCTAGCGCGCTCCACACGCTGAGACACTGCAAAGGAAGTTCGGAAAGCAAATCCAGAAGCGGCAGCTTGAGGTTCCCGAGTACGCCGCCAGCTTCGTGAACTACAAGGCATTAAAGAAGGTAAGCTGTCTGCCGATGTAGACTTTCCCTCTGGGGCACTGTACGATGGTTTCGTGGTGGTGGTGAGATCAACCGCAGTTTTCCTGCTACGCAGCACAGAGGCGCCGTTGCAAACAACGCTTGGAGATGATTCTGTGTCAGTCGGCGCGAGAATTTGTATCACTAACCGCAGGTTGTTGTACAGCTCATCAAAAAACTCTCCGCCACCCCCGTCCTCGCCTCGCAAAATGACATCCGTCGCCTCGAGTCGGTCGATTCGCAGGCCGCCCTCCAGGCCAACAAGGCCACCTTCTTCTTCCAACTTGTAAGCAACGCTTGTAAAATAAATACCAGGTGGTGCTAACTGCCGCAAAGGAGCGGGAGCTCGAGAAGGTCAACGCATTCTACCTGCAAAAGGAGGCGGAGGTACGGTCCAAGACTTTCCGCGAAGGCATCA